GAATGGTTGAAATGCAATCTATCCAGGGTGTACCCAAAGACAGCTGGATATAGGCACCAGCACCCCTCAGAAAATGGATGGAAGTCATTTATTCTTGGTCATGTAATCTAAAACTATCCCTTCAGACTGTTCAGTAATAAAGTTTGGAACAATATGTGCTTTCAAAACATAAGTTAAGATGATTTTTATCATATTTGTCTTTTAGCGTGGGAAAAATGTACATGAGACATATTGATAAGTGAGCATGGGGCCAACCTTATGGTTTACACATACCGTCCAAATTTCATGCTTTGCTCCGGACTGAAAGCAGAATTTATAAATTCAGAAAAGTGGAGATCCCCTCAATCTCTCATTTGGCAGCGCATTTGATTACATTTCGTTTTTTTTTTTTTTTTTTGCTGTAGTTTTGTAGGACATGACTTGCGTAAGGAATGTGCTTTCTCCAACTGTGCTGTGGTGTGTCATCAATGTCGATGACAAACAGCCTCCTTGTTTCCATCATCTTTAACGTCACATTAAACTTCTGTGGTAGAGGAGAGGTAGCGGGGAGACTCAGTCTGAAACTGAAGTGTCTCTGTATCATTGAGGGATAAGTGTTCTTTCTCAGCTGCTGGGCTTGGAATAAAGCCATATATAACTCATGCCAAAATTGCTCCCACATTTTATTTCACTTAACATTGAGAACTCAGTTTCATGTAGGCAGAAAGTTCAAATTTAAGAAAGAAAAGTGGTATTAAAGGCAACCATGTAAATATCTTTACATTAAAGTAATACATTGAGATAATCAGTTTGTAAGATGAAATAACATTAAATTGATTTTAGGAATATGCAAAGAAATGTTACTTGATATTTTTTTTTTGCTTTTAGAATTATCTTTTCATTTTTTTAACCTTTTGTCTCAGACTATTTAACCTTTAATATATAAGTCAGGCTCGTGCCAACATCAACATACTGAGTCTACGTGATACAGAAAGGAAAACATCTATCTTATTACAGTCTTTATTGCCAAACTCCTGAGAGTGTTTGCTTTTGTTTGACAATTCAGTATCAATCGTGGAGTGTCTGCGTCAAACACCACCAAACATCCCATGCATTTCTGGAAAAGTTTTCTCTACTCCAAATCTTTCTCAGCATGCATGATTAAATGTTCAGGATGGCAAACATAAACAGAGGGCAAAGAGAAGCAACAAGTCCAATGGGTGGGGCAAGGTGTGTTTTGGGGAATGATTTAGTTGTTCTTAACTTGATGAAGTAAGTTTTTTTCTGTGATTCTGAAAGAATTAATGGTATAGTGCCCCCTTGTGTGTTAAATTAGATTTTTTTTTGTGAATTCAGAATAATGTAGGCCTACATTATGCCTTGTACAGGCATGCCTAGAGGACATATTAAAACTGAAAGAATTTTGAATTTTCTTCTTTAGAATTCAGAGTCGGCAGAAGTATTTGAAATAGAAGCTGATTAGTCACTTCATCTGGGTGTCATTAAATTGACCTGAAAGAGATACTTCTTGATTGGCTTCCTATTTAATCCAGAATAGATTTTAAAATCCCTTCTCTCACATGTAAAGCCCTAAATAACCAATCTCCATCTTATTTCACAGATCTGATTGCCCTGTGTGTTTCTAACATAACTCTTCATTGTTACTCTGCAAGTTTACTGGTGGTTCCTAGAAATGTTTAAAGTATGAAGGAAGGAGGTTCTTCTAGCTCCTCTCCTGTGGAACCAACTACCAGTTTTAGTCTTTGAGGCAGACACCCTGTCTAATTTTGAGGCTAGGCTTAAAACTTTCCTTTTTGATAAAGTTTATGGTTAATTCAATTCAATTTAGTTTATTTATATAGCACCACTTCACAACACATGTCATCTTAAGGCACTTTTACAGTTCAACCAGATCATACAGTCAAATTGATTCAAAGTTTTCTATCTAAGGAATGGACTCATGGAATCGAATGCATTGACTCGAATGCAATCCTTCTGGTTAGAGTGGCCCAGGTTATCCTAAGCTATATAGTTATGCTGCTATAGGGTTAGACTGCTGGAGGACGTAGGGACCATTTTTTTAATCATTCTACTTCATTCTCTATTCTCACTTCTTTTCTCACTTTCATTTTTATCTGGCTTGCTTGTGTTGGGCTGTGAGATCATACATGGGTCAAAACCTCAGCTGGGTTGCTACCATCAACACTTTTCATTAACGATATTAGTTATCATTATTAAATTAATAGTTATGCTGCTATGGGATTAGGCTGCTGGAGGACATGAGGACTGATTTTCATCATTCTGTTTATTATATGTTATTCTACTGCATTATTTTTAATCTACTGCTATTTTCCCTTTCTACAGTATTTCTACATTTGACCCCTAACTTGGGGAGTTGGAGGGGAGTGTTGGCCTAGTGGGATAGAGCAGTGCGCTTGTGCTCTGAGAAGGTTGGTAGTACCCGAATTTTATCCCCATAGTCTCCACTCTGGGTTCCTGAGCAGAGCCCTTAACCCCTGATTGCTCCCCAGGCACAACACAATGTCAGCCCACTGCTCCCCAGGGGGATCGGTCAAAATGTAGAGAACAAATTTCCCCATTGTGGGACAATGAAGGGATTTAGCTTTTTTTTTTTTTTTTTTTTTTTTTTTTACATTTTACTTAAACTACCGGTAAATGTGCAAAGAACGAATACCCTGTCCCAAGCAAACATTCAGCAATGTAGTATGAAACAAATTCTTTAGATGTTTTAGTTTCTGATGTTCTTAATTTTATTAAGTTATTATTTTTTCCATGGTACAGACATATCATTTTCAGCATAGTCCCGAATTTTCTATAGGGGTGAGGGAAAGTTTTTCCAGAAGAGAAATGCTGACCCGCTTCCCTGATTTTAAAATAGATCTTGATGTATGTTTGTGATCAACTGCTGTTGGAACATTTAATATGTCCATGTAATAAAGACTAGCTGAGGGTTTAAAAAGCAGCATCACCTTGAGCTCCCTAAATACCCACTTCTTGTTGCCATTGAGAACTAGCAGCTTAATTATTGTCTTATTTTATCATAAAAAATGTCTCCTAAAGACAGCTGTAAATTTAATCAAGTTTACAGACTTCATCATTGGCAGAATGGCTATTTTTTTTTGGTGGTCTGCTGCTCAGTGACTAGGAACTGTAGTAATGTATATGGTGTTTCTGCAATCTCTAGTTAATGGCAGGCATGAGCCTTGATGGTTCCTTAACTGTTGCTGAACATTTTTAAGAAAAATCTCTACCTTAGGTTGTAGATTGAGAGTTTTAGGTAGATGTTTGGAACATGGGCATAATTAGAGTCTTTCTAGAGGACAGAAATCCCAAATACTTCAAAATTAGTTTTGCAAAGTAACAGACTAACATTTGAATCTTCTCCTCAACTCTAAGGGAAATATGTGCACTCTGTTGGTCCATGCAGGAGACCAAACTAGGATATTCAAAACATTACTATTTTTTGTGTCCAAAGTCTTTATTTAAGCTTTATTAGAGTTAACCATTTCATCACGATTTCATCCAAAAGAACGGACGCATGTTATACTACTTATATAACAACAAAATAGCTAATTATTAAATTCCTCAACAAGAGAAAACATTGTATGTTAATAAACTGCTTCATAGGAAGATTTAATGATTATTGTATTTTAATTAATTTATTCCTTTAAAAAATTTGGGATTGAAAAAAAAGTAACCGTTTCAAAAAACATATTATATTTCTGAAAAATATGCATTTCCAGTTATTTTAATTTTGCTATAAGCATTGTTCAACACAAGTCCATTATAGTTCTGAGGACCAATCAATCAAAACTTGCAGACCTGTCAGAGTTAACATCAAATGTGTGTTCTAGTAATCAAAGGAGCATTTGGGTTTTGAACCTAATGCAGCTCGCTTGTTCAATTCAATTCAGTTTATTATTTATATAGCACCATGTCACAACACGTCATCTCCAGGCACTTTAGAGTTCACCAGATCATACAGTAAAATGGATTCAAAGTTTTCTATCTAAAAAACTGGAAAGCAGGCCGATCTCCAACATCTATAAACAAAAGTGTTGATGGCAGCAGCACAGCTGATATTTCTCTCTAGGGTGGAGTCACAGCAAAACAGGAACAGACCAGATGAAGCTACTATGAGAAAAAGCAGAGAGAGCATAACGTTAGAGATTACGCTAATAGATTCTGCAGAGTGGGAAAACAGAGATAGAATGGAGCATAATGATGAAAAAGGGGTCCCTGTGTCCTCCAGCAGTCTAAACCTATAGCAGCATAACTATAGAGATAGCTCAGGATAACCTGAGCCACTCTAACTATAAGCTTTATCAAAAAGGAACGTTTTCAGAGTAGACAGGGTGTCTGCCTCACAGACTAAAACTGATAGTTGGTTCTACATTAGAGGAGCCTGATAACTAAAAGATCTGCCTCCCATTCTACTTTTAGAAATGTTAGGAACCACTATTAAACCTGCAGATTGAGAGCGAAGTGATCTGTTAGGAACATAAGGAACATGGAGTTTGACCATTTAAGGATTTATATGGAGGTTGGCCATGAATGCCTTATGCAGCCCCAAAATCAATATTATTTTATTTTACTTATTCAAATCTTTCTCATCCTCTTTAGGATATATGCTTGGCTGTTGACTTTCTATTATTAAATCTATGGCTGAAATTTTAATTTCAGGGTTACAAAATGGCACAGTTGTTAGTACTGAAGCCTCTCTGCAAGAAATAGCTAAGTTGAATAGTGACCTTGCAGATTTGAGTGTACATACACCCTGTGCTCATGCATAGGTTCTTTCATATTGTTTTGCTCTAACAGTGCAAGAGCATTCCTGTCCATGCTTGTCCACATGGCATAAGTACTTAGCCAATACTGTAGTTGTCAATGATGCAATGGAGAGGCAGTCTTTATAGGGTGTCAGTAGGGACTAGACCCAAAAATGATTCAATTGGATTATAATATAACCAATATAATATACAAAAATAAAAGGGTAAAAAAATACTCTCAAAACAATTGATATTCACTTAAATTGTTAGTTTAGTCATATTCTGTGTCCCTTTCTGACACCAGAGCTTTTCTTGTCTCAGCCGTCCTCCAAAACACAAGAGAAAATGTGTTGGGCGCCCTCTACAGGAAGAAAAGATGAACAGCAGCTAGACTGATTTCCTAGCCGTTTTCTAGTCCGTTGGAATTTTAGGAAACTGGAAGCTGGCTTTATCATTTATTCTATTTTTTTTGTAAATTGCTAGTATGCATGCAGGAACGGTTTTTGTTCAAAGATAAAGCTAGATTGTTTTTATTATTTTAAGCTATTCCATTTATTTTTTTGTCAAAGAGTATTGATATATTTTTGCACCTACAAAAGGTATGTTCTAAACGATTTATATCTATTCAGACGCAAATATTGCGATGCCTGTGCATTATTAGGAGTATAAAGCTCTGAAGACATAGGCCTAATTGGTTCCTGTATGTGTGAGTAATGCTTAAGCCATTGCTGCTGCAAGCTGCGTTTTATTCCCATTACGCAGAACAGATGAAGGCTTTACGGAAAGGCTTTATCATAGTAAAGACGTCACTATCCTGCTCGGGTTGAGCTATTTGTAATCAACAACAACCCTACTGCAGAAGGACAACGTTGGGATTTCTCTGATTTCTCCTACATCCCCTCTCTCTCTCCCTCTCTCCCCCCTCTCTCTCTCTCTCTTACGCACGCAGAGAGGGGACTTGATCGCATTGCGGGGCTGCAAGTCGCAACAGAAAGGACGCGAGGATTTGAAGGTATTTAATAACCGCGACAGTTAATGCGTGGATGTAAACGCGCCCACTCGTGTACCAGAATGTCGCGCCGTCATTGTGAAGCTAGGGTCCATTTAAATGGACACCGCGTAGCTGCCGTGGCTGCACCCTGAGGACGCAGCGCGCTTCATCCGTGTTGGATCACACGTTTGCAGGCGTCTTTTTCCTTGATCCAAAAAAAAAAAAAAACCTTTTGCAATTTTCGACGCCAAGTTTTGCCTCTGGGCTCATTTTTTCCATGTTGTTAAATAGCAGAATGTGATGTTGATGTTCACTCAGGCCATCATGAAGCACAGGAAAACTGTACTACGCACTTTTCTGCTCTGCTGAGGCACGCCCACTTTGAAGCAATGTGGATGCTTCATGTTGTTCAATTCATAGACCTGAATTAGACCCACTATAATTAGCCTCTGCATTTTTAATAAAGACCCTTAGAAATTAGCTGGAAATCAGGGTGCAGTTTAAATCCCCCGCACGGTAGGGCTTGTTTTCCTCAGAAGATGTCAATTTTGTTTTGCCAACAGAAGGGGGCACTGTTTCAAAGAGGGTTATATTCAGGTTAAATGGGGAAGTTATTTGTTTATTTATTTATTTTTCAGAAAAATGTGTTACTTCATCGAACAGCTTGTTGAAGATCTATTAGGCCCCCCTTTTTTTCACCAAGTTGTATTTTATGATCAACTTGCTTTATTTTTATGTTGTAAAAAACTAAAAATAACTAGGATAGATTGGAATACATTTCAGTTGAAGTGCCTATGACCTCAGCCCATAAATTTCATAGCTGCATTTGGATCTTTATTTGATAATTACAAATAAGGTGGTATGAAAAGCATCAAATTAATTAAATATGTAATAGGAAAAAAAATATTAATCCAAGTTTGGCTTTATTGTGAGTTATCTATGATGTTTATCATTAAGAATCAAGCATATTTGTAAATCCCCACTAATATCAGGAAAATATCGGTGAAAATTCTACTTTTTAATTTTAACTTTATAGCTAAATATCCATCCATCCATTATCTGAAACTCTTGTCCCAATCGGGGTCGCGAGGGCTGCCGGAGCCTATCTCCAGCTGTCAATGGGCGAGAGGCAGGGTACACCCTGGACAGGTCACCAGTCCATCACAGTATAGCTAAATATATTCAAGCATAGTTTTTTCTGTGTCTTTGATCATTGTGCTGGTGGAAAATTCAGTTTCCACATCTTAACCTTT